AGAGTCAGGATGGGCTACCTTCCCACCACCTCCCTGGACTTCCAGGAGCCCTGCAGACACATTCACACCCCAAAGCCGCTGCCCAGTTAAAAATGTAACTCCAGCTATAACACTCAGTCAAAAATTCTTGACTTCCTGGAGTGTGCAGCCATCTTTGCAGCCACACAACATCTCCCAGCTCTACAAACTGATAAATCAGTAGTAGTTCGCCAGATTGAATGGGATGTAACAAAGAAGGCATTCAATCTTGACTAGCCAAACAGTGATGCATAATCAGTGTCTGAAAAAATAGCAGTACTCCTGCATTTAAAAAAAACAAGTAATGCAGAAGGCTTAACCTGTAATTTTAGTAATCTCTCGAGAAGGACTTAATGTCTCCTTGGTGAGATACAACAATTCACAGTAGTTTTCTTCTAGTATTTTTGTTCATTCTGATAGCAATTTATTAATAACAAGCAGTATAAAATACATTATTGTGGGCCTGATAAGGAAAAAGGCTTGAGGAGTGATTGGAAAAAGTGGGGGCAATGGTGGAGAGATGGTGGTGGTGGGGTTGGTGTTGAAGTATTGAATGCCTATAACAAATCACCATTAACAACTTTGCAAATCACAGTGTTTTTATAAAGTGTGAGGGGGAAATTTATATAAGTTTATTTTACATAAACTCCAAAATATATTAGCACAGAATTTCTTCAAAAGTTTTATTAATTATAGGTAAGGCATGACTATTGCCTTAACAAGATCCAAATATGAAATTTAATATAAATGTAATACACTCTAGATTCCAGAGTTGAGAACTTATGTAAATGAGAATAAGCATTTTATAATATTGTATTTAAGGATTTTATTTTCCTTATTTACATAGATTCAAATCATGTAGCAATCACAAACTGATTCTTACTGATTTATTTTCTGATCATTCTATTTGCCATTTCTTTTATTGGTACAAGGAATAGAAACAAATTTGTTATGTACCAAAGGGGAAGGTTGGGAATGGCAGGGAAAATGGGGACATTGGTGGAGGGAAGATCATTCTAGTGGTGTTGGAACACTAAATGCCTGAAACAACTGTGTAATGAGAGACTTTGTAAATCATAGTGTTTTTAATAAAAATAATTTTTTTTTAAAAAAGGAAAGGTACACCAACTCAGGTTTAGAAGTCACTGGCTTGGAACATCTCCTAAGTGTGATATCAAAAGGTGTGAGAGGGTTGCCACTTAACACAATTTAGCATGAGTCCAGTCACAAGGAATCACCTCATGCCAAAATCTGTTTCCTTCTACCAGTTCTTAGAGGTCCTTTCCTTACTGGCCTTCCTGACACAAAGCAGGGCCAGTAAGTGACCTTCAAAAGTTAGTACCTTTAAGACCTTGTAAGAATCTGGCAAAAAAGAAAAGAAAGAAAAGAAAAGAAAAAGAAAAGAAAAAGAAAAAGAAAGAAAAAAATAGGACTTATTGTGGTGGGAACCAGTCTTCCACACAGCAGGAAGTGGCATTGGCTTCTGATTTTGATACTGGCCACCCGAACAAATACAATACGAAGAAATCCAATGTGGTTCTGTGAATTTCTGTAGGCCTCATACCCAGAATGGGTTCAAGTGTGTTATGGTTTGCTGGTAGTTAAATGAGCCCCATGCTGCCCGTGGAGGGACGGAACACTGCATGGCTTATCTGAGGCCCTGGATACTATCTGGCCCCAATGAGGAACTAAGTGTGGGATGCTGGTTTCCTTCATGAAAAAGGTTTTGATGGGCTTACCTAGAAGAGAGAGTCAGTCTCCAGGATCTCCTGACCCACAATTTCTCATTCGGTTTAGTAACGGCGCCTCCCGGGCATGCAGATTTTGGAATCGAGTATGATGACGGTGACATCAAAATGGAAAGAGATTGGAGAGTGACACAGTGAGCGCCTCGGCAGGGGCTGTGCTGAGCAGTGGGTGGAGAGGGCTGCCTCTCAGCCTACACTCTAGAACTTACAGTGCTTAGGCACACTTGGTTGTCGTGAAGAGACATTCTAATTCTGCCAGGATCACAGGGCACTTCTGGAAGCCGACTGATCCTTCGAGACCAACTTCGGCTTAGCTGGACCTTCAAATCAGATCTTTTTTTTGGTGGGGAGGGGATGGTCCTTCATTTTTTTTCTCTCACCCAAATCTCAGGGAGCACTTTTTTAAAAAAATATCTGAACCTTCTTCATTTTTAAAAAAAAAATTTTTTTTTTAATTTCAAGGATTTGGCCAGAAAAAAAATAGACATAAAATTCCTTCTATGCTTCTTTTCTTTGGTATGGGTCCGAGAAAAGATTTTGCTTCTTAAATGTTAGCTTCTGAGCTAAGCACTACCTTTTTTTTTTCTTTTCCTCTTCAGTCCATTGCATAACAATCTCCTGTTTTAACCTTTTGCCAAATTCTACACTTCGCACTGTCAGAGGTTACTACGAGTGTTTGAACAGGTAACATCCACCTTTGAACCTTATTGCAACAGGTTCAAAGGTTTCAGGGGAGTTTGCTGGCCACTCTTAGGACCGTAGGCATTGGCTTCAGGTGTGTCTCTGGTCCGGAGTTGTGGAAGAGGCAGTGCGCCTGAATGTAGCACTGAACCAGGACAGGCAGCTTTCAGAAGCACGTTTCCTGGACCCAGAAAACAAGTGCATTCTTTTCAAGGTAAGTAACAATACCAGATTGCTCTCTCACTGTTCCCTCCACGTGTGGGATATTGGGGATGGAGTTGATGTGTGCAGGAGAAGGTGGGACATAGTCTCTTCTAAGGCTCTTTGACAACATGAGACTGTGATTGAGTAATCCAACTCCAGTGGGAGGCAGAGAGAACTCAGTGGGAGAGAAGGTAGAGGCATCACAGTCTAAACACAGAGAATTGGGAGATGGTGACTTCTTAGGCTGAATGCCGCTGAACCAGACAGAAAAGCTTATAGATTACGGTCAAGGGCAGGATGTGGATCTACCTCTTCCACCCAAGATTTTCTGTAAATATTGGAGAAGAAAGGTTCACGGGCCAGACAGATAACACAGCAAGTAAGGACTTGCTTTGCATTTGCCCCATCAAGATTTGATCTCTGGCCCCACACTCTGAGCCAAGAGAAAGCCTTCAGCTCTGCCAGTTGTGTCCCCCAAACAAAACAGAACAAAGGATGGTTCATCATCTGTTGCTGGGGGTGTGCAGAGAAGGGACCTCCTGGATTAACTTTTCTGTCCTAGGTGGCGTTATGTGTCCGCTCTCCTCACAGCACCTTCTACCAGGCAGGGAGAGTGTTTCCAGGGCAGAGATGAATAATGGGCACCACAGCTGGTAAAAAGCAGGACGTGCGTTCCGTATGGCTAGAATTTCAGTCCTGATCAATCTGTCCAGATGCTGGGTGTTGCCAGAATCTCTGGTAATCCCTTAAATCTTGGGATACTACTAGTGCACAGAGAATTGAGTAGAAATTTAGCTCAGCTAGAACTTGAGAATGACCCAGACCCTCGTGAACTTGAGCCTTTGATTCTGAAGGGAAATAAAATAGGGGTGCAAGGGGGGGGGGCAGGAAGGGAGGAAAGGAAAGTGAAAAAAAGGAAAAGTAAAGATCATCTGTTGGGGGTGGGTTGTTTGTTTTGTTTTTATTTGTTTTGAGATCACACCCCTTCAGTGCTTAGGACTTACTCCCGGCTCTGGGCTCAGAGATTACTCTTGGCAAGGCTCAAAGACCACTCCTGGTGGGATTCAGAGGACCATGTGGGTTGCCAGGGATCAAAGCCAAGTTGTCAAGTGCCTTACCCAATGTACTATCACTCTGACCCCTGTAAAGCTCATCTTCTGATCCTGAGCTCTTCACCTTGTTGACAAAAGAAGGCAGCACTCCATGGGAAACCCAGGGCGCTAGAGTCCCAGGGCTTGGCTCCATTCTGCCGCTCCTATTCTCAGCTGGAGGAAGAGACTCGGACAGATGAGCCCCTGAAACCAAGGGTAGCAGGAGATGGCCCAGAGGATGGAATGACAAGGGATCCCCTTCTGATGCTCACGAAGCTTTTGGCTATTTCTCTGACTGTTTTTAGGAAGCTTTCATGACCTGTATTCTTTAAGGCAGGAATTCGATCGAGCTCTAAAGAATGCCAGAGTTGTCTCAGTGCGATTAGAGCTGGGTGTCAGAGGTAGCAGTAATTTTTATGTTTGCCTCCAAAATCCAAGAAGGAAAGTTCTGGTGCCTCTGGTGACCACAGGCTGGCATGCACACAGAGACACGCTTTAGGGCCTCGGGGCCAAGGGAACTGACCCTCCAGATGCTCCCGGCGAGTCCTGTACATCCAAAACAGCTGGTTCCTAGAAGACTGAGACTTTGCCTCTTCTGCTCAGGCTCGCGTCTGCATAGTGGCGTTTTCTAGAGACACTAGCAGGGGGTGAATCTGACAGCTGAGGGCGTGCACATGGGTGTGCTTCTGGGATACACAGACGTCTGTTTAACTCGGGCAGTCCATAGGGGCAGCAGAATCCACTTTTCAAGTCCGTTTGAAGAGATAAGGCAGCGACTCCTTGACCCCGGTCTGGAGGGTCTTTGCATGGTTGTTTGTGGGGAGTTTTATGAGAACTACCTGGGACTGGGAAAAAGGTGACAGGCAGCCAGGGTGGCAAACAGTGCCAGGTTTGTGCTGGTCCCGGGGTGGACATGAGTGCCCAGGTGACTCCTGGCTGGACTTACCCATCCAGGGATCCCAGCTGGAAGCTGCACAACCGGCCTCTGTGCCACTGGAAACTGAGGGGCCCCTCAGGTCAGTTCTGGGTCAGGGCAGGGGTAGGGGGTGCTCTCGCCTTGCTCTGGAGGTGATGGGATAAGGGAGAATTGAGCCCGGGCTGCCGTGACAGCTGGCTTTGGTTTCAGCCCTGAGGGGCTGGGGTTAAAGGATTTGAAAACCCGCCAGGGGAACAGGCACTTTTAGCCTTCTGGTCAGAAGCTGCTTCCACTTTCAGTTGTGAAAGCAAAACCAGGAAGTGGAGTCCCCGAGCGAGCACGTTAGCCGGCCGGCCATGTCCTGACTGGAGACAGCTCAGACGGGCAGGACAAACGGCAGGCTTGGAGCTAAGGCCCCTGGCCGCATGGCTGCACCGGAGCCAGCCTGTCCCTTCAGGAAACGGGGGTGACGGGCGAGGGGGCAAGAACTCTGGGGGAGCCAGAAAAACTGGGAGCCAGGGAGCCCTGTTGGCTGGAAGCACCAAGACATGCGGCCCCCTCACAGGGTAAGGAAACTTCTGGAGGGTGGGGCATAATCAGGAGGCATTGGGAGCTAGTGCAGGGGTCCAAGGGCACACAACCTGCTGTGCTCCCTGCCCGGTCACCAAGGAACAGTTGAAAACCCCTTCTCAGGAGGGACAGGGGCAGGATGGTGGGTCCCCAGGGTGTGTGTGTGTGTGTGGCGGGGGGGGGGGGGGGGGAAGGGGGTATTTTTCCTCTCCTGCCATCCTGCAGGATGAGGCTGGGTGAGTTGGCTTCTCCATGGCCCGGGGCTTCCTGCCTGACCTGGGGAGTGACTCACGTGTCCAGGTAGATTCAGGCTCCTTCTGGGGTCAGAACTGACCGACAGGTGGCCGGCTCAGCGGTCTCTGTAGGCTGGATCTGTTGGAAGGGCGAGGGCCACAGGCTGAAAGGAAGAGAAGTTTGGAGTGAGATCAAGGAAGGTTGCACATGGTCGGGGGCTGGGGGCAGGGACGGGAATCTCAAGTGTCTGGGAGGCTTTAACTGTCATCCTGAATCTTTAGCTCCACCCTGGAGGTGACTGATAACTTTTCCCAGAGCCTTTAAAAACACATTTTTAAAGGAAGGGCTAGGGATGGGGCTCTGAGGGAAAGCACGTGTCTCACACAGGGAGGCTCTGGGTTGGATTCGCAGTACCACACTCCGTCAGTTAGAGTGACAGAGTGAAAATGAAAAATGGGGGGGGGGGGGGAATAGGGAGGAAGGAGTATTCGGCTTTGCCTGTTCACTCCCTTCTCTATTGATTCATGCCTGGGGACACATAGGGTCACTCTGGCATATCCCTCTGACAAATATGTACGTGAAAACATACTAGGCTTGGAGAAGGCGTGGTGTAAAAGTCTAGAACGAATGATGATGTGTGTCTGGCACAAGAAAAGGGAAAATAGCCTGAGTAAAAGTTTCAAATGCTCATAGGCTAGGCAAGTAACATGGCTGAGTGAAACACGTGACCTAAGATGCAGAAAAGGACTCTACAAGGTATAACATTCAAAAAAAAAAAATCCAGGGCTAGAGTGATAGCACAGTGGGTAGGGCGTCTGCGTTGCACGTGGCTGACCCGGGTTCGATTCCCAGCATCCCATATGGTCCCCTGAGCCCTGCCAGGAGTGACTCCTGAGTACAAAGCCAGGAGTAACCCTTGAGCATCACCAGGTGGGACCCAAAAAGCAAAAAAAAAAAAAAAAATCCAACAGACTTCTTGATTTACAGACTTTATCAGACCCAACAATGTCTCAGCCAGGATATCACTGAGTACTAAATATCAAGCCGGGCTGCAGAGATTGGCCTGGAAGGCGGGGACTGGAAAGTGTGGGGGAGGGCGTCAGGGGAATGATAGAGAGGGAAGGATGGAGAGAAGGAGGCGAAGTCAATAAAGCTTGCTCTTAGTGGGTGCTCTGCATTTCACGAAACGCTCTGTGGTGGCTGATTTGACCATTTTTTGAGAGAGTAGACTCAGAGAGGTGAAGTGACTTGTCCAAGGTCACAAAGCAGCCAGTTGTCTAAGTGGAAGTCAATTGCAGTCTCAGGTTGAAATACGTGCTCCATCCACTAGGCACAGACTCAGCCTTCCCTCTGATTTCCTCAAGGATTTTACTTCTACAAAAGGGTTTCATGCAGAGTCAGGTATGTTAAGCAAAAGTAGTCACAGGCAGAAGGATAACTACTAGATCTCTCTCAACTAGGATGCAGAGAAAAACAAGATATGGTAATAGAGAGTATGAAATGATGACAGGCCCTGGTCTTGGATTATAGAACTGAGATCCAGGGGGCCCCAGGGAAGGGAGAGGTGGAACAGATGTGACTTGGGGCAGTGGTGGAGGGTCTTGGGCACTTTGTGGTGGTGAAGTATAATAACTTCATACATCAGCGCCATAAGTATAACACTATTATAACCATGTTACCTAGGTTACAATTAATAGTGGTAGGTAGAAAACAGGTGGATAGATCTGCAGCTATGAAGGTAAATAGGTAGAAGATAGGTAGGCAGGGAGATAGGCAGATAGATGATACGTCGATATTTCATGTATGGTCACAAGGGCAGGAAATGAATCAGAATTCAAGTGGGCATTTTTCTAGAACTGCACGTATTATAGCTGCCATTCAGGTACTCTTTTCTATTGGGTAGCCCATGCTTACTGTGCTATGGGCCTTTTATCTTTTGATCTACAGGACAATCCTATGAAGCAAGTTCTTTATTTCATAGGTGGAGAAGCTAGAGCTCAGAAATAGAGAAACTGGACTCACTATTAAAGGATTAGAGCTGGCATGTGAACTCTGTCTCATTTCATTCTGAAGGTGCAATGAACTTCAGCTTCAAACTGAGTCCAGTTGAGTGCATAGGTCAGAAGACTAGAAACAAAGAAAGAGCTCTTTAAAAACCTCCCACGTCAAATCTAGACACCCAGAGAGTGGCAGTTGCCAGGGATGGTGTGTGTGTGTGTGTGTGTGTGTGTGTGTGTGTGTGTGTGTGTTATGGGGGAGAAAGAAATGGAAGGACCTGCTTATAAGTACAAGGTCTATCTGGAGGATGGCATAGTAAAGTACTTTGGAATTAGGTTGAGGTGGTGGCTGTATAATGCTGTGAACGTAGGGTGGGAGAGACAACACAGGGGTTAAGGTGCTCACCTGGCATGCTGCTGACCTTAGTTTCATTCCCCAAGCTGAGCTGAGAGTACCACTAGATATGATCCAGAACCTCTTTCCAATTCTTGCCCTACCTCCTAAAAAAAAAAAAAAAAAAACCCAAAACACTGTGTACATATTCAGTGTCACTGAATTGTTTAAAAGTGTTTTTCTTTTGCATCAATTGCACCTCAAAAATAAAAAAAAAAAATCTTCTCCATCTCTAGGGGCATTTTTTAGGAAACTCTAGGCAGGTGAGTTCCCAAATACAGCTTTAGCAATTTTCTAGAAAGCCTGAAGGCCATTTCTGCTTCTGTCTGTTGTGTAAAGTTGGCCAACCTATATGCAGACACCCCCAGGGGCTGCCGTCTGCGGTGACCCTGTGCCCGGCTCCGCCCCAGGGGGGGACCTACTCCCCAAAGCCCAGGATTCATTCATCACTGCTCTCACAGAGCTGTGCTGTAAGTACAACCTGGTCTTTTTCTCCTCACGACTGAGTCCTAAGCTCACAGGTGAACTCTCCCCATGTATCTTGGGCTCTCTGCTCAACCCGTTTGTGTAAGTCCATGCGTGTGAAAGATCAGGCTGTGATGACATGAAAGTGCGGCTGTGGTCACGGCATGGAGAGACGCCTATCAGGAGAGCAGTAGGAGACCTCTGGGACTCTGTGTGGCATTCTCCCCTTGGAGATTTTGAGTGGCCTTGTAGTAGATGTGGTGTGCTCAAGATGGCGGCGTTAGGGATCAGAACTCAGCATGCTAGACATCCTTGACTGAAACAGAAACTGAAGTTGCTAAGATCCTTGTATTCATGCTCAAGAGCGTGGGTAGTACAAGAACCACAAGCATCTCTCCACTTTGGCAAGTCAAAACAGAGCATATGCGTTGGACCAGGAGCTGGCAACCATAGGAAGTGGAAGGGAGAGAGTCTTTCCTGGGCACTTCTTTGTATCTGGCAGTGCCTGAGAAAGTCCCTTCTGAGTAAGGTGAATGACCTGTCCCTTTTGAGTGTGCATTTGAGAGAAAATGAAACTCAGTGTCATTAGTGGTTGCCAAGCTCACACAGCTAGGCGTAGAACTGTAGTTCCAACCCCAGGGGCCTTGAAGGTCTGCCCGTTGGAAGAGACTCTTGACCACAGAGTGAGTTGTTTGCACTTTGAATCGGGCGACCTCTGGCCATTGGCCAGACTGTGGTGGTGTGAGGGCTGAGGCTGTGGAGAGCTGGACAGGTAGGCCTCTTGCACAATCTCTTGCATCACTGTCTTCATCCTGGCATGGTGACGGGCACTGAGCACTTTGTCCACTCTATCTCACTTACAGATTCTCTTATCGTGCCCAGTGGACTTCTGACCTTAATTGCCTCTTGATTCACTTGGTCAGCAGCTGGTCTGGGACACTGTTGCAGTGAGTGAGCCTTGGGGTTTTCTCAGGAAAGGGCTGCTGGACTCTGATTTGTTGGAAGCACGGTTTAAGATCGAGGTTGACGGTGCCAATCTGAACACTAGTGGGATTTATCACTGCCGATCATCAGCCTAGTGATGGCTCAGCCACTAGCCTGGGCTTCCTGCAGGGACTGGGGTGAGAGGATCTTCGTATTTGACTTAACGAAGACTTGACAATATTCTTTGGCTCAATTGGCCAAGGCGTGGTCCCTCCCCGATTCTGTGGTTTCATGAGCTGACTTCAGGCCCACACCAAGCCCCAGTACCAGTCATTCTTACTCCCTCCCCCTTTCCCCATTTCTTAAATGTGGAAACTTCACCCCACTATGTCCCACTTTGGGCACCCACACCATCCTCTGCCTCTTATCACACACCTGGGCATCCCATTCCCCTGTTTTGCCTCCATCCATCCATTATCTTAACAAATAGTGTTCTTCGTGGAAATATTAAATCGAAAGATGCACACAGTATCTTTCCGTCAGAATCCTACTTTGGGTCTCCCAAGCCGTCAGCCTCACCGGCAGAGTTCTCATCCTTGATAGAAAGAGATTCCTCAGGGAAAGAGTCCCGCACCAGCTAGGCTCAATAACGGTCTATTCTGCCTTTTCCTTCTTCAGCCCACATGCTTGGGCCACGCAGTGAGTCATTTCAGAAGGGTTCCTAGAGTTCCACAGAGCCCAACGTCCCCAGAGGCAGGAGCTCCATCTCCCCAGCACAGTCCCTCTGCACATAGCCCAGGGCTATGTGCACACACTGCATCCAAGCCCTTTATTTGTCTTTGTGAAAGCAAACATAGTAAATGCATAAGTCAATTAAAAGTCAGAGAGTAAACCTCCTTTGCTCCCCACGAACTTCTCTAGTCTACCGGGGCACCCGTAGATCACCTGTCTGGAAGGACCATGCCTACCTGAGGGGTTGGCT